ATAAGGACAGTCACTGGAAGTCACAGCAAAGTGGGGCAACTACAGGCCCCTGCACTGTAGCCAGAAGAGTAAAAAGGAGAGCCACAGGAAACCTGAAACTACTGCGGACATAGACAGGGAAGAATTTGGGAAAATCACCCTGGAAGTTATTTAAGAACTCCTGGGCTCACCTGTGAGATACGTATGCCTGAATCTGACCCCCTAAGAAGCATACATGGACTCTGAGAATAAGAGGGTCTGCTGCTTAAATTCCATATTGGCCACAGAGTGACACACATGTGAGCAAGATTCAAGCAACAATGTGAAGTCTCTGACAACTAAACTGACATAGAAACCACAACCCACAGAAAGCTGTTTGGACTTGGTAGTCTGAGCTCAACCAGGTTGACTGCCTGCTAAAACAGAAATATCAACATTTTCTTTTGGATTTCAAGAAGTCATAGAGTTTTATAACATTACATCCTAAATGCTCATGATGCCTTTTGAAGTCACTGAGAATATAAAGACCCAGGAACATTTCAACTTACATGGGAAAAGATAACCAACAGACATCAAGTGAGATGATACCATGATCTTACAAGGACTTTAAAGCAGCTGCCTTACTTGTTCCAACAAGTAGAGTGAACACACTCTAAAGAAATGGAAATAAAATCTCAGCAAAGAAAATGAGCATATAAAAAAGAACTAAGTGGAAATTCTGGAAGTGAAAAATATACAGGTTTTTTGTTTTGTTTTGTTTTGTTTTGTTTTTGAGACGAAGTCTCACTCTGTTGCCCAAGCTGCTGGAGTGCATTGGTGCAATCTCAGCTCACAGCAACCTCCACCTCCCGGGTTCAAGCGATTCTCCTACCTCAGCCTCCCGAGTAGCTGGGACTACAGGTGTGCACCACCATGCCCAGCTAATTTTTGTATTTTTAGTAAAGACGGGGTTTCACTATGTTGGTCAGGCTGGTCTTGATATCCCAACCTCATGACCCACCAGCCTCAGCCTCCCAAAGTGCTGGGATTCCAGGCGTGAGCCACTGCGCCCAACCCTACAGTATTTTTAATATATGAAGATTTATTTATTGATATGGAAAATAGAAATCTTGCTAAATAGGTTCAACAGCAGAAGGGTGAAAACAGGAAATAATTAACTTGAAGACAGATTAAAAGAAATTATTCAATCTGAACAACACAGAAAAGATCGAGAAAAAATACAGATGAAGAGCACCTCAGGGATGTATGGGGCAACAACAAAAGATCTAATATTTGTCTCACTGGAGTCCCACAGAAGGAGAAAATGTTTGGTGCTGAAAAAGTATTTGAAGAAATCATGGCTAAAAACTTATATTTGACACAAGACTTCAACCTATAGGTACAGGGTCAACCCAAAGAAATCCATGCCCAGATGCATCAAAATCAATTTTTTTTTTTTTTTTTTGAGATAGAGTCCACTCTGTCGCCCAGGCTGAAGTGCAGTGGTACAACCTTGGCTCACTGCAACCTTCACCTCCTGGGTTCAAGTGATTCCCGTGCTTCAGCCTCTCAAGTAGCTGGGACTACAGGCATACACTACCACACCCAAGTAGTTTTGTATTTTTCGCAGAGAAAGGGTTTCGCTGTGTTCTGCCCAGGCCGGTCTCAAACTCCTGGCCTCAATTGATCCGCCTGCCTTCACCTTCCAAAGTGCTGAGATTACAGGCGTTCGTGAACCACCATGCCCAGCCATAAATAAATTCTAAAAATGGAAGTACAAAACAATCTTGAAAGCAACCAAGGAAAATTGATACACTACTTGGTGGTGGGGCAAAAATATGAATAACTGAATTTCTCATCAGAAACCATGGATGCCAGAAGGAAGTGGACTAATTATTTCAAAGTGCTGAAAGAAAATAACCACAAACCTAGAGTTCTATATTAGCAAAAATCTTTCAGGAATGAAGATGAAATAGAGACATTCTCATATGGAAGAAAACTAAGAGACTTTGTCACCAGGAGACCCACCCTGTTAAGTCATTGTAATATCAGAGCCAGAACTCTTAATGTTTTTAAACAATGCTGGTTGCTTAGACATCAAGAGTATAACTAGGACGAAGAAGGATTTATCCAGGAAATAAAGAATGGTTCACTGTTAAGAATCTATTACTATCATATTAATAGGTCATAGGTCATATGATCAACCTGATAGATGCTTCAGAAGTATTCAATTGGTATCCTTCATCCATTCCTGATTCAAAAACAAAAATATTAGCATTGCACCAAGAATAAAAATAAAACCCTAGAAGAATTCTCTCTAGTAACAGAACCAAGGAAAAGGTGCTTACTATTACTACTACTATTTAATGTTATTTCAAAAGTGTGACCAATATGGCAACTGAGATGGGGGAAAAATTTTTTCCCAAATTATATAACTGTCTACCTACAAAATGAAAATTGTTAGGGTGGCTTTACTCAGAACTGATGAAGTGCTGTGGGCTTGGTTAGGGTGGCTTTACTCAGAACTGATGGAGTATTGTGGGCTTGGAACCTGAGCATTATAGGTCAGAAACTAGCTCTTCCAGGATTAAACAATGTTTCAGATCCTTGACATTTTACTATCTCATTGATACAGCACATAGCATTATGATTGGATGTAATAAAGATCCAGTGATTATTAGCTGTTATCATTACCATTATTAATATTTTACATTAAGCAACATACAGTTCTCTCTGCCTTTCCTTTTTGCCTAAACAAGACTTTTGAGTAATAATACTGAAAATACTCAATACTCCCTTAATGGCTTGGAATGTTTTTTCTGCCTTCCCTCATTAACTTATAGGATTTATATAACTTTGATACTCATCAAGACACGAACAAGCGTCTCCAGACCGAGGTGTCTGGTCTGTCACAGACCCCTTAGTACATATGGCTGGCACAAGCCAGAGCAGAGGCTGGGAGCTTGCACAGTATTGGTGTGTGGGATGGGACTGGGCAGCAAGCAGGTCCCATGCTTCCTGAAAAGGGCAAGTTGATTTATTTCTTTTCTCCTTTTATATTTCTTCCATCCTCTGGGTAAACAGTTAAGCTACTCCTAACACCCAATTAGACTATTTCTATACCCATCTGTCTGGATTTTCTATTTAAACTCTTGCTACCCTACAATGCATTCTCTCCATATAGCAGTCAAACTGATTTTTTGAACATGATAAATCATTCATTCAATAAATACTTATCAAGCCCCAGGTACTGTTCTAGGTGCTCAGGATATAGCAATAAACAGAAAAAATGTCTGCCCTTATGAAACATATTTTAGCAAGAGAAAGGAAGATAGTAAGAAAATCCTTAGTATTTTAAGTGGTATACCTTATAGAAAAACAATAAAAGCATTTAAATGGATATAGGGAACATGATGGGTGAGAGGAAAGGTCTGCAATTTTAAACTGGGTCATAAGGAAAGGCCTCACTGAAAAGGTGACATTTAAACCAAGACTTTGGGGGACTAAGAGAGGAAGTCATAGGACTATCTAAGGGAGAGCTTCCCAGACAGGGTAACAGCCAGTGCTGAGGCCCTGGGGCAGCAGTGGGCCTATCTTATTTAAGGAAGAATGACCTTTTTGAATACTTCTACACTCATTATAGTATTTTAGATCAGTTTTCCTAGTAATGGAAGCAAAGATATGTGTATATGTTAAACATCAGTGAGGCTCATGTGAGCATGCAGGTAGAGACTCTAACTATATAAATTCTCTGTGTGTGTTTCTATACGTGTATACACATATGTTTACATGGACACACACACATATACACAGAGGTAGTTACCCAGTACATCTCTGAAATGTTGCCCAGGCTGGAGTGCAGTGGTGTGATCTCGGCTTACTGCAACCTCCGCCTCCTGGGTTCAAGTGATTATTGTGCCTCAGCCTCCCAAGTAGCCGGAATTATAGATGTGTGCTACCATGCCTGGCAAATTTTTGTATTTTTAGTAGAGACGGGGTTTCACCATGTTAGCCAAACCGGTCTCGAACTCTTGACCTCAAGAGATCTGCCTGCCTCAGCCTCCCAAAGTGCTGGGATTACAGGTGTGAGCCACCACATCCGGCTGAAATTTTTTTTTTTTTTTTTTTGAGATGGAGTCTCACTCTGTCACCAGGCTAGAGTGCAATGGTGCGATCTGGGCTCACTGCAACCTCCACCTCCTAGGTTCAAGCAATTCTCTGCCTCAGCCTCCCAAGTAGCTGGGACTACAGGTGCACACCACCACCCCCGGCTAATTTTTTGTATTTCAGTAGAGGTGGGGTTTCACCATGTTGGTCAGGATGGTCTTGATCTTCTGTCCTCATGATCCACCCATCTGGGCCTCCCAAAGTGATGAAATTACAGGCGTGAGCCACCACACCTGCCCACATTTTTCAAAATCATGTGTGAAACACAGACAGCAGGCTCCCATGTTTAGGGATGGTTAGGGTGGCTTCCTGGAGAGCTAAAAAGATTCTAGAATCCCCAACTGTATTTTTACACATAATCTTTGATAGTAGGTTTCTAATACTTTATACATGTTGTTAATTTTTGTTTCATTCATAACCGAACATCATTACATGATTTAAATCTAACTACCACTAATGAGAGGCTAAAAGTCACTGCTTTCCACATTACTAATAATTTCTATCTTTTCTCAACATTAGCTAGTTTACAATGATAATACTGGCACCAGGGACAGCACTTCTGGATTTGCAATTTCTATTCACCTTTTGTAAAACAGGAGCAAAAATCTAACAGAGCTTTCAACTGGACAAAACTTTAGTACAAAAAGAAGAAATTATGCTGAAAAGAAAATTAGGCCAGGATACAGAAGTTTCTAGTTTTACTAAATATAGTAGGAAATAAGAATTCACAGCAGGGCAAGGGAAGAAAGCAAGAATTACCATTAAACTCAAAGTAAAAAACCAACAAAACAAAAGATATGTGTTCAAATTCTGCCATGCCTAGTTCACCTTTCAGAGCCAGTGTCTTCCACCATGAGAGGAGTAACAGTGCTTACCCACAGACGTTTTGTGTCAAGCGAGTGAGACGCTGGTTGCGGAAGAGCCGGGCACAGCACTCACTCAATACTTTCTCCTCTTGACTTGGACAGGATGAGAGGACTAAATGGCAGATTAATCTGGCGGCAATATCCAAGAAAATCTGGAAAGAACAAGATCCGGAGTTTGCAAATCATTGCGTTCTACAGGCTCCTTTCCATTCAACTTTTGCCTCTCTTTAGTTTCTCCCACTGCAGTGGACACCTGTCTGCTCTTTTAGATATACTCAAGTCTTTTTCTTGTTAAACCACAGGCTTTTTCTGAGTTCTTATTCTTTCTTTCTTTTCCTTCGAAGCTGACCTTGTTGAAACGACAGTCTGTACTTAAAAGTCTTCACTTGCTTGCTTCTCCTTCACTTCTCTGCTCACAGCATATTTCTCTCAGCACTAAATGGGCTCTTCCCTGGGTCCCAGGCCACCCCCTCATCACCAAGTCCAACAGGCATTTTCATTCCCTACTTGGCACTGTCATACTCTACCTTGGCTCTCCTCTTTCCCTTTGACCCTGTTCTCTCCTCCTCCTTGGACCCCTCACCTTTGCCAGAGTACCCTTGGGCCCCCTCAATATGTTACTGTACTGAGGGCTCTATCTTTGCTGTTTTGCCCTGCCCACTCATTCGCTCATCCCAATAATTATCCAATCTGTATTGATATGAATTTCACAAATTCAAATTTATATTTTCACGAGATTTATGAAAATTCTACTTGATGTCATTCAATATTCACTCAACCAATATTTAACTACTTAAATATTGGTTTAAGTAGTTAAACCAATGTAGGCAATGTCGTAGGCAGGGAATATAAAGAAAACATGTTCAATAACAATTTGGTGAACCTACACACTAGTGGGTATTGCTCTGTTGCCCAGGCTGGAGTGCAGTGGCACAATCTCGGCTTAATGCAACCTCTGCCTCCTGGGTTCAAGTGATTCTCCGTGCCTCAGCCTCCTAAGTAGCTGGGATTACAGGTGCACGCCACCATGCCCAGCTAAAAAGGCAGACATTCAAAATGATGAGTAAAATACAGTGTGACATGCAATAAAAAAAAAAAAAATGGGCCAGGTGCAGTGTGGCTCACGCTGTTGTGGGAAGTCAGGGATCCCAAACAGAGGGACCTGCAGAAGCCATGATAGAAGAACATAAATTGTGAAGATTTCATGGACATTTATTAGTTCCCCAAATTAATACTTTTATAATTCCTTACGCCTGTCTTTACTGCAATCTCTAAACATAAATTGTAAAGATTTCATGGACATTTATCACTTCCCCAATCAATACTCTTATCATTTCCTATGCCTGTCTTTATTTTAATCTCTTAATCCCGTCATCTTTGTAAGCTGAGGATGTATGTCACCTCAGGACCCTGTGATGATTGTGTTAATTGCACAAATTGTTTGTGAAGCATGTGTGTTTGAACAATATGATATCTGGGCACCTTGAAAAAAGAACAGGATAACAGCCAGGTTCAGGGAACAAGGGAGATAACCATTAGGTCTGACTGCCTGGGAGCCGGGCAGGACAGAGTCATGTTTCTCTTATTGCCCAAAACAGGTAAGAGAAACATTGCTGAATTCTTTCCCCAGTAAGGAATATTAATAATTAACAGCCCTGGGAAAAGAACGCATTCCCAGGCAGAGGTCTCTAAAATGGCCGCTCGGAGAGTGTCTGCCTTATGCAGTTGTAGACAGGGATGAAACATGCCCTGGTCTCCTGCAGCACCCCCAGGCTGGCTACAGTTAGGAAATTCCAGCCTGGAGAATTCTAGTCAGACCGGTTCTCTGCTCTCGAACCCTGTTTCCTATTAAGATGTTTATCAATGACAATGCGTGCACAGTGGGGCATGAAACTTCATCAGCAATGCTAGTTTCATCCTGGCCTTGTGACCTTGCCCTGGCATTTGCCTTGTGATATTTTATTGCCTTTGAAGCATGTGATCTCTGTGACCCACACCCTATTCGTACACTCCCTCCCCTTTGAAAATCGCTAATAAAAACTTGCTGGTTTTGCGGCTCAGGGGGCATCACAGAACCTGCCAACATGTGATGTCACTCCCGGACACCTGGCTTTAAAATTTCTCACTTTTGTACTCTTTCCTTTTATTTCTCAGACCGGCTGACACTTAGGCAAAATAGAAAAGAACCTATGTTGAAATATTGGGGGCTGGTTTCCCCGCTATCATGCCTATAATCCTAGCACTTTTGGAGGCTGAGGTGGGCAGACTGCCTGAGCTCAGACCAGCCTGGACAACACAGTGAAACCCTGCTCTACTAAAATGCAAAAAATTAGCCAGGTGTGGCAGTGTGCACCTGTAGTTCCAGCTACTCAGGAGGTTGAGGCAGGAGATTTGCTTGAACCCGGGAGGTGGAGGTTGCAGTGAGCCAAGATTGCGCCACTGCACTCCAGCCTGACTGCATCTTCCAAAAAAAAAAGTGAAAACCTTTAGGTTCTAACCTGGTGGGGGTAAAGAAGTGGGAGATGAAAACACAGTATCAAAATATATGTGTTTGCTTCTGCTGCTTCCAGAAAACCCACCAGAATGACAATAAGCAATGAAAATGGCATAAATAAAATAATCTAGGGAACACGGAAAAAACTGCTGCACATACATACCAGAGAACCAGAAACAAGAAAAACGAAACATTCTCAAACAGATGAGTGAAGTTAGTGCATGCATTAGAAAGACTGCCATTTAAGAAGAACACTGAGAGAATGAGAAAGTGGCTCACAGAAATTTTAAAAATGATAGTACAAACAGATCTTTTTACAGAAGGACTGAAAGATAAGGTTTACAAAAATCTTTGTATCTCTTAGCACTCTCCCCTTCAAACAATGCCACGCAATCTCCTACCCCAGGGCCTTCGCACCTGCTGTTCCCTAGGTCCTCAATGTTGTCCTACATGGCCCATCACTTTCAGTATTGTTCAAAAGTCACATTAAAGGAGAGGCCCTTCCTGACCAACCTGTAAAATCACACTCCAGTTAACTAATGTAGTTTCCTTATGCTGCTTTATTTTTCCACACCACACCTATTACTCTCTTATATTCAATTCCTCCCTTCCTGCCTCCTTTCCTTTCCCTTCTGTCCCTCCCTCCCTTCCTTCTTCCTTTATTAGTTTATTGTCTCCTCTATGAGCATATAAGCTCTTCAAAAACACTTTGCCTTCTGTGCTTATTGCTGTAGTCCCAGTGCTAAGAATAGTACTCAATAGATACATGAATACATAGGTTATTTACATAAGGACAAATACAAGTATCAATAGTAATAAAATCCATAGAAATCTATAATAAAAGTAACACTACCTTTCATTTTATAATAAAGAAATTATCATTCAACACAAAATAGTATCTAAAGCAGTACAATATGTAGCAAGGTCACAAAAAATGGATATATTTGGCCGGGCACAGTGGCTCACACCTGTAATCCCATCACTTTGGGAGGCCGAGGCAGGCGGATCACAAGGTCAGGAGATTGAGACCATCCTGGCTAACACGGTGAAACCTCGTCTCTACTAAAAATACAAAAAAAATTAGCCGGGTGTGGTGGCGGCGCCTATAGTCCCAGCTACTCGGGAGGCTGAGGCAGGAGAATGGCACGAACCCGGGAGGCAGAGCTTGCAGTGAGCTGAGATCACACCACTGCCCTCCAGCCCGGGCGACAGAGCAAGACTCTGTCTCAAAAAAAAAAAAAAAAAAAAAAAAAAAAAAGGATATATCCTTTGACCCAGTGATTTCTCTCCTAGAATCCCATTCTTTAAAAAACTTATGGGAAACCAGCAGTGATGGTTATGGGCAATGTTTTCCCTATAATTGTGTTCCTTTAATGATTTCTTTCATTGCTTTACCTTAGACAGCTTTATACTATCTAGAGATTAAATATTTGCCTATCTCTTTAATTTAAAAACATATATATAAAGAAATGATTGGGGCTGGGAACGGTGGCTCATGCCTGTAATCACAGCACTTTGGGAGGCCGAGACAGGCAGATCACGAGCTAAGGAGATCGAGACCATCCTGGCTAACAGAGTGAAACCCCGTCTCTACTAAAAATACAAAAAATTAGCCGGGTGTGGTGGCGGGCACCTTTAGTCCCAGCTACTCAGGAGGCTGATGCAGCAGAAGGGCGTGAACCCGGGAGGCAGAGCTTGCAGTGAGCTGAGATTGTACCACTGTACTCCAGCCTGGGCGACATAGCAAGACTCCATCTCAAGAAAAAAAAAAATACATGATTGGTACTTTTGCACATGGTAGAGAAGACAAAGATGTAAAATGCATTTTTTTTTTTTTTTTGCAGAGAAAAGTCAGTAATAACACCTAAAACAGAAACTTAAGTTCTGATGAGGATTAGAAACCAGATAACAAAGATAAAGCAGCATTCAACATTTTGAGGTAAATGGCATTGAATGGGTAGTAATGCAGATTGGAATTCTGGGAATGAGAAAGAAAATATATACAATGTAAGGCTGCTAGAAATGAAAACAAGGCTAACATCATTTTTCATGTTTTTAAATGAAGACTGTATAAAACTCTCTCACATAACGCAGAGGAAGAGAAATGTTAGTTTCCTTTGAAGGAGAAAAAGCTGACAAATATTTATATGAATGAAGGAAAGGAAGCTATGCATATATGTTATGGTTGAGAGGAAACACTCATGAAAGAGAGCACAAGCCCAGAGAAGCTGTGTAAAGACAGGGATTGTATTCAGAGTGCACAGGAAGACAGAAGAGGACATAGTGGTTGCTAACATTTACCAAATGCTCAGTATGTTCCAGGCAGTGGGTAACTGCCATCAATGTAACAACTCATTTACTCCTCATAATCCACCACCTCCCTCCCTGCAAGATGACATAAGGGAGCCCTAGAGAAATGAGGCCCATTAGTAATGCGGAGGTGTCACCTGAGAACACACATCCAGCAGCTCTAGTCTCTCCAGAGACCCAACAATCTCTGAAGTGATTTTCCTCCAGGAGACACACGCATGTAACAAGTCTGTGCAGCCTGGCACTTACCTGGAAAGCCAGCGTCAGGCAGTTCTGTTTTCATCAGGCTCAGTTCTTCTCGGTCCAGCTGGGAAGTCACACTGGGTTTGGAAAGGTGATTTCCTGCTTGAGAGGAAAGACATTAACTTTGGGTTCTGAACTGAGTCTAAAAACCAATCCTGGCACAGTTCTGATCCTTTCTCCTTCATGGCTTCTGAAACAAGGAAGGTGTGGCTTATGAAGTTCCCCATTTTCCATTCTCTACAGAAAATTTCAGTCTTCCACCTTGAAAGAGAGGACACCAAGCAAACACCCTAAAACAATGCCTTATGATCAGGGATTTCGAGTCCAAATTCATAAATTTCAGAGGTCACACAGGATTGAGAGGGAAAGGTGTGAAGAGGTGGGTTTTGAGTTATAAGAAGTCCTTACCCGGTGAGAACAGGTTCCTGTAGTTCTCCAGCATCACCTCCCCATACATGGTCATCCTCTGAGAAGAATCTGCTTGAATCCACTCTTCCCAAGAGAAATCTATAGACACATCCTTGAAGGTCACTGACTCCTGAAACTAAAAATTCCTCCTCAATAAGCAATTATGCCAACAAAACCCTCTGAGGGAAGTGAAAAGCCCAGCAGCACTAAAAGGACAGGGCACGAAGATCTGTGTGAGAAAACATGTTGCCCTCCAAATGGAAGAAAATGTCTGCAACGAATCATGAAATAACCAGAGACATAATATAAAAAGTGTTTTGGGAGGTAAGGACAAGAAGATTAGGTATAAGTGAGAAAAAGGGAAAGGCATGAAAGGCTGCTCTAGATTCCCGTGGGAGAGGAGGGAGTGGTGTTGTGATAACCTCCTATTCACCCCACTGGTGAAGGAGGGAATCCCTGCCCTAAATGGTACATGATGACCAAACACAGGACACTTGACACGGAACAGATGAGGTCGATAGCAATTTATCAGCCACATACAGTCACAGTCCAGCCCTCGTTCCTTTTGTTTCTTTCCTTTCTCTTTCTTATTTTTTTGAGACCAAGTCTTCTCTGTCGCCCAGGCTGGATGGAGTGCAGTGGCACATTCTCAGCTCACTGCAACCTCCCCTTCCTGGGTTCGAGAAATTCTTCTGCCTCAGCCTCCTGAGTAGCTGGGATTACAGGCGCCCACCACGCCTGGCTAATTTTTGTATTTTTGGTAGAGATGGAGTTTCACCACGTTGGCCAGGCTGGTCTCAAACTCCTGACCTCAAGTGATCTGCCTGCCTCTGCCTCCCAAAGAGCTGGGATTACAGGAGTGAGCCACTGTGTCTGGCCAGATAAATTACTTAAAACTTTTTGTAAAGAAGATGAGAGACTATGGAAATAAGAATAGGTAATAGAAATAAAGCAATAGAAAAGGTTTTCATCATTTAAGGACAGAGAGCATTCTGATATGTAAATAAGGAAAAGGGAGAAAGTACAACTGACCCTTGAATACATGGGGGTTAGGGACACCAACCTCCCTCACAGTCTAAAATCCATGTATAACTTTTGACTCCCCCAAAACTTAACTCCTAATAGCCTGCTGTTGACTGGAAGCCTTACTAATAACGTAACAGTTATTTCACGTATACTCATTAAATGGAAGTGGATCATCACAAAGGTCTTTCTCTTCACATACAGAGGGCAGAGGAGGACGAAGAAGAGGAGAGGTTGGTCTTGCTGTCTCGGGTAGCAAAGGTACAGCAGGTGGCAGGAGAAGCAGGCACACTCATTGTAACTTTTATGGAAGAAATCCACATCAATGTGGGCCTATGTAGTTCAAACTTGTGTTATTTAAGGGTCAACTGCAGTGGAGAGAGGAGGACTGAATACGAGAGAGAGAGGGCACATCGATTTCCAAGAAATTTGTGTACTTCATATCCAAGACTAGGAACTCCAGAAAAAGTGTCAACACTCAAGGCACAGAGCTCATTGTCCTTCCTCCCTCCCTCCCTTCCTTTCTTATTATTTTCTCCCTAATTTTTATTTAATCAATATTTCAAAGTCACAAAAATATATAAAAAAATCACTGACAAGTATTTTCAGGAAAAGTGCAGAATTTTCATTTTATCCAAGGAGAAAGGGAACTAAGAAAATCATCAGATGTTCAACAAATGTAAAGAAAGGAGAATAAAGGAAATAAGATCACATAATAAGCATAAATAACCAGAAAAATACTTAACACACGTATAGTGACAAACATCAATGGTTCACTTTCCCTATTAAAAGGCAAAAACTTGGCAGATGAAGAGGAGGCGGTGGCAGTGGTGGAAGAAAAGGCAGCCGTGGCGGGGGTAAGGAGCCTGGAAACCCCAGTGGGAATGGTAGGTGGTTTGGACCCACCAGGCCACTGTTGTTTCCAGAAAGGGTTCGACTGGAGGAACCTCTGGAGCAGCTGTTGGCTGGCTCCTCTGACTGATGGCATGTTGAGGTACATGGGACAGCAGAAGCGAGGGTATCCGATCCAGAGGGGGCCACTCTAGAGGCCAGGCCACCAGCACCATGGGCCAGTGTGTAACCAAGCTTAAGAATCCCTCATCCACCCTGGGCAGCAAGAATGCAGACCATGACCCCAGCAACGAGTCACACAGTAGGTGGGTGCAGGCCACTGTGAGGAGCAAGTACCACTCTGTGGCAAGCCAAGTGGAGATAGCCTTGTCAACAGAACCAAGAAGGCCGAGGCTGCCACTGAGGCCTGCCAGCTGCTGACATCCCGGGAGTCCTCGGGAGATGCTGGGAGGGAGTCCAAGTCCAATGTTGAGGAGTCTTCCTTGCAGGGGTTGGAAGAACTGTTCAGGTGCTACAAGGATGAGCGGGAAGATGCAATTTTGGAGGAAGGCATGGAGCACTTTTGCAATGACCTGTGTGTCGACCCCACAGAATTTTGAGTGCTGCTCTTGGCTTGGAAGTTCCAGGCTGCAACCATGTGCAAATTCACCAGAAAGGAGTTTTTGATGGCTGCAAAGCATTAAGCGCAGACAGCAGTGACAGAATCTGTGCACGGTTCCCTAGCCTCTTAACAGAAGCCAAACTAGAGGATAAAGTCAAGGATCTCTACCAGTTTACATTTCAGTTTGGCCTGGACTCTGAAGAAGGGCAGTGGTCACTGCATCGGCAAATAACCATTGTCCTGTGGAAACTAGTCTCTACCCAGAACAATTCTCTGGTATTGGACCAATGGCTAAACTTCCTAACAGAGAACCCCTTGAGGATCAAGGCCATCTCCTGGGACAGTTGGAACATGTTCCTTAACTTCACTCAGGTGATTGGCCCTGACCTCAGCAACAACCACAGTGAAGATGAGGCCTGGCCAAGTCTCTTTGACACCTTTGTGGAGTGGGAAATGGAGCAAAGGAAAAGAGAAGAGGAAGGGAGAGGTGCACTCAGCTTAGGGCCCAAGGGCTTGTGTCCTGAGGAGCAGACTTAGTGGCTCTGTCCCAGGCACAGCAGCAAGGATCTGCCTGCTGCCCTGTGGCCGAGAAATTGAACCTTTTGGGAAACTACTGCAGATCTGGATATTTTCTACTTTACACCTCTGTTGGAGTGATCAGACTCAACCCCAGGCCGTGGGGGCTACGAAGTCTGGCGAAGTCAAAGGAATGAGAAAAGACAAGAGTGAAAGTGGGACCAGGGGGCCAACGCCAGTATGGAGGCTGCAAAGGCCCCGAGCTCTGGAAGCCGGCACTATTTACTGGAGATCAAACAAAGCAGGTGGTGAGGATGTAGGGGTTGGAAGAAAGTCGTTTATCAAGCACATGATCTACAGCTGAGACAGTTTAGCATTTTCTTTGAAGCATATGGAACATGTTCTGCTACTTGAGATAATGGGAAACATGTTCTTCTAGTTTAAGATACAATTGATCTATGAGCCTGGGAGTGCTAGAAGCAAGGAGCCAGCAAGTCTAGACACATTCCAGAGGCCACAAGGGGTTTTATGCCAAGCCCTGGATTCCATCCAAGCCACGAGGGGTTTTATGCCCTGGGCTTAGATTATGGTGCGGCAGGGCAGCCTTCCACCCTTTAGTACAGAGCTTGGTGTTCCAAAGGCCACAAGGGGTTTTAGACCCTGGACCCAGGACATGTTCCAAGACTCTTTTACACTGTGTCAGACATGCAAGCCCTGCCTCAGCATTTTTTCCCAACAGTCAGCTTTTCTCCCAATACACCTTTCTCTGCCTTGTATCTGAAAGGGCTCTAAAATGCTGTATCATGTTTTAGGCACTTTCTTCATTTTTTGGTTATTTTGATTATTTCTTTTTTGGGGGAATCTCCCAAAGTATTTGAACCTGCCTACATGTTATCTTTTTTTGAAGCCTTCAGATAGAATAAGCCTGCCATTTCTTGCACAAATTAGACTTTTTTTTTGGTAGGGGAGGGCATAGAGCAGGGAGAGGGGATGGGACCGTTAGGGTGAATTAACATTATAAAATGATACAGTGCCAGATCTCAGTTTTGCATATTGTTTCTCAGGGCAGGTCTGTACTGTGTGTAGTGCTATTTACATGGTTGAAATTAGGTTGCAATAAAAAAATTTTTTTTTGAGACAGAGTCTTGCTCTGTTGCCCAGGATGGAGTGCAGTGGCATGATCTTGGCTCACTGCAAGCTCCGCCTCCCAGGTTCATGCCATCCTTCTGCCTCAGCCTCCCGAGTAGCTGGGACTACAGGCACCTACCACCACGCCTAGATAATTGTTTGTATTTTTAGTAGAGACGAGGTTTCACCATGTTAGTCATGATGGTCTCGATCTCCTGACCTCATGATCCACCCGCCTCGGCCTCCCAAAGTGCTGGGATTATAGACGTGAGCCACCACCCCCAGCCAGTAATAATTATTTTTAAATATCTACACAGATTTGAATAGGAGTGTTAACTTAATCACATTGCATTAATTTCCAGGCGATTTAGAGCTCTTGGAGAGCCAAGGCCAGCCAAGAGCATTTGTAGTCTGGTGACAACCCCCTTTTAAGGTAATCTATGCAGAACTCTGATTTCCCTCACTTCTTGCTCATTCCTTCTTTGACCGATTGCATTTCATGTTGACTTTATCCATCAACATGCTGCACCTGTCAGTCAAAGGAGCATTTTTTAAGAACACATACTGAGAACCACTCAAGCATTGAATGCAGAGAAAGCAGTGCTACCTCAGTTTTGCTGGAAGTAGACTTCTTTGATAGTTTTCTTTCTTTGATGAAGTTTCTGTATTTTCATGTTGTAAGTGGAAATACTTTTTTTGGTTTGTTTCATTTGCCTTGGAGCCAAAGTTTCTGTTCCTGGTGGTCGAGAACTGCCTGCTGGCCAATGACTTGAAGGAAAACTGTGGTATGGAGCTCTCTTGAATTTATATTTATTTATTTTTTTCTTTGAATATCATCAGCTTACTTATCTGGCAAGGACAGAAGCCTGGGGTTGGCCTGAACTCTGCCAAACAAATATCAAAGTATATTTAAGAGTTAAATTTGTGCCCTTTCCCTTCTTGCTGCATCCATGTTGTCACTTAACCCCCAGGAGTTACTGATTATCTCTTTGTTAAAGTCAGGCTCATTTGGGGTAATGTGATGACTGTTTAGGTTTACATGACCCTCGTCTCCTTTCCCTACTCTCAAATATGTATATATACATATATAAAATACGTATATGTTTTAACTGTATAAAATATATATGTACACATATATGTATCTATATTCCTTTGTTTCTTTGCCTGCTTATACTGGCCATAAAAGAGGGAGCTGCCTTCAACGTATAAAATATAAGAAGAGTGCCAGGGAATGCCATAATGGAGGCTTTTGGATTTGAATTTGGACCACTTTCACTAAAGAGAACATGAGCTTGCTCAGCCCTTTCCTCACAAGACGGCCCAGTTCCCCCGACTTCTCCACACGCTCGTTCCATAAGGCCAGCTTTGGCCAGACTGCCCCAGGGGCTTGACGAGCTGACTCTGGTCCTACCTGGTTTCAGTTAGAGGGTCCTCCTGTTATTTTTCCATTTAAAATGTATGTCCTCAGAAAACTTTACTGGAATGATGAGTGGCAGGAACTTGTATAGTTCAGCTC